TGGATTTAGTATTGTTAATTTAACAACATTCAATATTGTACAAATGTGATTTTAATTTTTAATATTGTAAATATTTATAAATAAAACCCATTCAACAAAAGCTCTTAAGATGCTCCATATTGTTAAAAAGTGGGAAGATGTCTTAAGAGCAAAAAGTTTAAGAAACACTGATTTAGATTATTGTTGACTCATATGAACATTAGATTGCTCATTTGTACATTTGCAAGAATAATTAGTTGGCATCATGCTTGAGCCTTGACTGAAGCTATTCCAATGTGAGTTTTTAATATACTGGGTGGCTCCCCAGAATTCAGAAACATTAGCATTATAACATCAACCAAAATGTCTCACCCCTATGTTACTCATCTCTTCCAAACAAAGCAAAAAAGCAAATACTGACAAAATCTTCCTATACAATTTCTTCATTATTACAATAGTAATTAAAATAGATGCAAATTTAAAATGAAGAGATTAAAAATACTTAATGTTTCTCTAATCTATGAGGCTTGTGCTAACCATATTCTTGCTGAGCAAAAAACTAAGATTTAATCTTTTGCAAACTAAGTGGAAAAAATAAGAGTGGGTGAGAACAAGGCAATGAATGCTTACATGCCTTACATGTCATCTATTTCTAGACATATGCTTAAAGGAATTTGGAATTGAAGAATACAATCAGGAATGAGAAACCTGTAAGTTTTCTATTGCTGAACTGCAATACGTATTGCTATACAATTAATGTTCCTAAGATATATAGGATGGAGTAGACAACCTTGTGATTGGTCACATTATTTTCAACTTGCAATTTGACCAGCCAATATAACCAAGAGCAAGGAACTATAATTCAGGTCATCTAGAGAGCACTAAATTGCCTATCTTACCTTAGGTTGTGGTGAGGTTACCCTGTTTCCCCAAAAATAAGACCTCCACGGATAATAAGCCCAATCATGATTTTGAGCAGATGCGCTAACATAAGCCTTCCCTCCCAAATAAGCTCTCCCCGAAAATATTGCAACACAGTAGCAATCATGAGGTGACCACGCTCACCACCTCCTGCACCTCAAAAATAAGGCCAAGTGCATATTTGGGGGGGGGGGAAGGGGACCCTGTCTTATTTTTGGGGAAACACAGTATGATGTCTGAATACTGTAAAACATTAAGAATTAAGTATTATGTTATAGTATAGAGGTCTAATGAGAACTTGAAGACTTGAGAAACATAAAAATCTTCTTGGAAAAATAACCCTTTGCTGACCCCAATGACATTAAAAAAATATAATGTACTTTAGATGTAAATTAAGTATAGATGACGCAAATAGTACAAAAATATTTTTCAAATAAATCTATTAGGAAAATAATTTTGAATGAAATACTTAGCATAAACTAAAGATGTAAAGAAAATTTAAAAAGCAGCATTTCAAAAGAATGTTACATTTAAAATAAAGTTTTAAAAAATGGAATGCAAAAGAAGACTAGAGCTAGGTACCCTAATTGCATTTCTGTTTAGATTATAGCCTTTCAGTGAAGATAGACAGCTCGATTGTACCAGTGTCTCAGGTCTTGACACATCCTGTAACATTCTGCCATCATTCTGAGAATAAAAAAAGTGACACAACACAAATAAAATGGAAAAACCAAGTGGATCTCAATTCACTATTTCAGTAGTCTTTTAAAAACTGTAGGCATACATTTTTAAACAAACTATCACAAGGTTGCTCATACCTAATAAAATTTCTGAAAATCACGGTTCTACGATGCCTAATGAAATCTCAACAGCTGTTTGAAAATTAATGACACATTTTAAACTTCAAATATCATTGCTTATTCTTATTCATTTTCAGATTTATTTTACCCTTCCTTTGTACTAGTAAATTCTTCAAAAAAATGTTCTTCTTTAATGTTAATCTGACATGCCACTGATGCCCTAGTACAGAACAGAGCAAATATTACAAACAGACCTTTTGACCTTACAAATTTTTTTTAAAATGACAAGAAAAGGGAGGCAAAACATAGGCAAGGTAAGAAGCTTATATTTCAATAATGGATATTGCCCAAGGCTTGAACAAAAAGATGATTTTTCTCAGAGGATTAGAAGAGTTTTCAAATGGACTTCTGGGTATTAAGGGCCTCAATAGTGGAGTGCTATTTTCTCTAAGACGTCTTTTGATGCCCTTCTTTTGAACCTTTTAAAAGCAATTGGCTGATTACTGCTAGAAGGAAATATCTTGTATGGTATTCATTTGGCTATTTAAATATTAATTTAAACATATTTAAAAATTAAAGATGGACCATTTCCATCTTTTTGTCCACATGCATTTTTTAATGAAGTCCACCAACCCCCCACCAAAAAATCCAAGATGTTTTTAAGCATGAATGATTGCTCGTATGAATTATATCATTGTATGTTAATATTGGTAGATGTTTATTTACTTATTTATGCAATTGTAGAGCATCATCTGATGACCTCAGTTGTAACTGTGTAGTGGCAACTAATTTTTTAGGATCTTACTCTTAATATTTAGATGGCATTTTGGATATGAAAATGTTTTCCATTTAATATCCTAGCAGTTCTTCATAGACCTGGAATTTACTGTATTTCTTACCTGCATATTACAAAAAAGGAAAAAGAACCAAAATACCATCAATTTATTTAAGATGGCACAGAAAGCTCATTATATTATGAAATATCCCAGTTCACACAACCATTTGGATATACTATATCACTTTGGAAAAGGAGAAATGTCACGAGACCAGAAACTAAAGCTTAAATTAATTTATTAAACAATAGAAAAATCATTCACAAAACAGGTATTTACATGATTTAATATGAATATTAAGAACATCATCTTATATCAACATTGATAGGATGAATTTCTCTTATCTGATATTTGCATGTTGAAAAAGCTGATAAAAGAATGAGTACTGATTAGGCAAAAGCTTTAAGACTGAATGCTGTTGGATATTCCTGAGCATACAAACCTTTTCCATAAAATGGTCTGCAATTCATATTTAGCAGCCCAGGGTTGTACACTTTTTTGAAACATTCCTTGGTAACTTGCTGTAAATTATTTAAAAAAATACTGACAACTTCAGCCTACTCAAAAAAAAAAAATCTGCAATGGCAATGGCTTTATGGGACAGTTCCACAAGGATGATCAGCATTTCTTATATACAAGTGAATGGCTTTTTAACAATATTTAATGACAACATATGTAATTTGTTCCTTCCACTGGCAAGTTTTATTATATTTTTTCTAAAGTACCATAAGCGTCTCAGTATTTTACAGAGTAATTTCTTTATACTAAATAGTATCACTACCTCTTCCTAACTTTGGAAGAGAAAATGTGTCAAAAGCAGTTTCACACAGAGCCAACAAGTATTAACTGGTCTCTCAAATATAGAAAATGACAATGTTGATGATTTAACACAGCAACTCATCATATGAAAAGCCATAGCCTACTAAGAAGGAAGAAAGTGTATAAATACTGTTATTTCAAATATATGAATATATTTGATATTCATAATGTATTATATAAAATTAGGTTCTGTAAGCCTAACAATGTCAATGCTAAAGTATTTGTGATAGTAGTGAAATCAGTAACTACAACAAAAGCGACCGACTTTTTTTTTAAGCGAACATTTCATATATATATATTAGTAATTTCACCCATGTTGTCAAAATATTCCATTTACTTAATTTCAGGAAAGTCAATGATAAAGAAAATCCTTGTTTTAAATAATAGCACAGTATTTTTTATATATTTAATTATCAAAATCAAGTCCACAAGATACTTCATTCATTTCACAATTTTTTACCAATCTAAATATAAAGCAATTTTATTTGTAGCTGAAGACAAACAAAAGTTTGGGAAAAAAGGCTACTATTAACTCTGTGCAAAACTGTTTCCCTTGTGCATGAATCTTCAGTTACGCAGCAGCAATAGATGCATCGTCCAACTGACGGCCCTGTGGCTTCAGAGAAATAAAGAGACCATTATTTCATATATATCATGGTATTGGACCTGGGTACTTGAGAGACCGCCTGCTGTCAATTACCCCCAATAGACCGATTAGATCCCACAGATTAGGCCTCCTCCGAATTCCATCAACTGGCCAATGCCGATTGGCGACCACCCGGAGGAGT